TTGGTAGTCACAAAATTTTCCAACTTAGCTACTGTGATCTTGGTCTCCAGCAGGCATACAAAATGGATACCAAGTTCCAAAAGGTATTTACACAAAAATTTTTGTTTTGAGGACCTTGAAAGTCCTCTAATATTCTAGCAAAGGACCTTCATGGAGGAGGAGGGGCATTTCCCTTACCACCTTTCTTCTTCTCAGGTCTCTTCCCAACCATGTCTCCATCTTCATTCCTCTTCTTCTTTTGCAAATCAACACCCTTTCTAACCACCTTGTCAAGAACCAGGCCTCCAGTTTTGGGATTGGGTTCTTTAGCCTTCTCCTTGTTGTTGTTGTTGGAAGAAGAAGGGATCAAGCCCCCTTTAGGTTCAGTGTGTGGATTTTCACCAACAGGTACACAATCCCTAGCTCTAGCCTTCCCATGGGGTTCACTAAGATCCTTTGGCTTGTCCATATCAACCTTGTGTGTAGCCTCCAAAGCTACCAGCTCCTTCTTCCTAGCCAGTTCCAAGGCTTTGCAGTAGAAGGGGCCATGATTCCAGGTTTTGCAATGAAAGCAGTATTTGGGGTCTTCCTCCAACACCACTGTTTGTGTATATGTCTTACCCATACAAGCTACCTCAAAATGAGTCACCGGCTGTTTTGAGAAGTCAACCTCAACAAGCACTCTACAAAATCCACCCTTGCTTTGCTGCTTTGTAACTAGGTCAGTTCTCAATGGTTTACCAACAATTGAGGCCAGCATACCAATTCCTTCTTTAGACCATAGCTGGAGTGGGACATTGTGTAGCTGAACCCAGACAGGTAGAGTGGTGAATTCAGCAAAATCAAACATGAAACCATGAGAAGGAATTTTGAGTCTAAACTCCTTCCCATAAGCTTTGTCCCTTTCCCTACCCAGCACATCCATTCTATCATTATCATTCTCAAATTTCAGTATAACCCAGCCCTTACAATGGGGAATGATTCTACAAGGCACATTGCAGCTTTTGACAATAGCATCCACTGAGGCCAGGGAAACGTCTAGTAAAGCAGCCCACAAGGCAAAAACCCCACAACTCTTCAACAGGTTTAATAATAGAATCTGGGATGTGAAGAAAACCTTCACCAACATCATATTGTTTCAGAATCATACCTTGGTCAGGGTCCTATTGCCCTTGAAGAGGTCAGCAAACGTAACAGGTTTGGCAGCAACCATCTCTGGTTCAGGCATTTTGTCAAACACCTGGGGGGGTCTCTTGCGCCGAGGTTATCCCAACCTGATCACCTTTGTCTGGGACATCTTCAACATGAGGAGGGGATGTCTCAGACGTGGATGAAGCAGTTGGAGCCTTCTCCTTCTCAAGTAGTTCCATGGCAATGTCCGTATACAGACTAGGTGTCTCCGTAACATCATCTCCACTCCTTTTCTTCCTAGGACTCCTAGGGAGCTTCTTCTTAGCCTTCTTAGCACTCTGGGCTTTTCCAGAACCCATGGGAGCAGAAGCAACTCAGAGAAGCAACGCAAGAAGCATCGCGGAAGACAGTGAGCAGTGAAGCGTAAAGGTCAATGCACTCCCTACACAGACGAGGGCATGGCTGAGCAATTCCACCAGTAGAAATGGTCGCCTAGGAGAGGGGAACAAGAATCTACACTCAGAATGGTGAGGCACCAAGAGATGAAGCTCAAAAATGATGGCAATGGTGACAGGCTACTGTAGCACAACGTCGCTAGAGAGAAGTCTCGGCCAAAGTCCCCAAGAGACCCTTAAGAAGGTTATTGCAAAAGAATTTTGCCCAATTGATTTTAATATTGTTCAAAAACACGAAGAGAAGACGAGTGTCCCAAGTAAGTATTTTTGAATGGCTCGGCTTACGAGGAGCTAATACTTTCGAAATGAAGTAATGAAGAATTCGAAAATGAGGCTTAAGACCTCCAACGGTTTGGTGTTCACGCGCAAGAACTTCTTCAAGGCACACCTCGGTAATGGTGTCGTAAGAAGAAAAAAATTTGAATTCCTTAGATGTGAATTTGTGGAAATCACATCCTTCAAAAGAAAATTTGAAAACTTCACCGATATCCTTGAGAGTCATCTCAATGTCGGTGCCATTTACGGAGGTTTTGAGGACCCATCCGGTGAAAGTGGGATTTGTATAAAACAACCAAATTAGATTCAGACAATACACAAGAAAAGTCTCACGAACAAAGGAAGTAACACCGAGTCTATCAATGAAAATGGTAGCATCTTTGAATGGTAGATAGGAAAATATGGAATGAAGAACAGATTTGGGTGTTAAAATAGAACGATTCGAAAAATCACTATAGAAAAGACATTTGGAATCACCTCTCGGGAAGACAAATGAAGAGACAAATCTTTCCTCTTGGGTTGTTGATTCACCAATATGAGACTTTGAGCACAAACGTTTACTGCCTCGACGATCCAACATGGTGGCTAGGGTTGGAGCACGAGAAGAATGAGAAACCCTAAGAGAAGTAAAAAAAGCACTTAATCTCAAGTAATCGAGCAAATAAGCAACAATAATCATAAAATTGCAACAATTAACAAATAATTTGGAAGAAATTGAAGACAAGAGGCAAAGAACAAACCTAGGAATGCTGCGTCGCGTTCGTTGTCGAAGAGAGACAGACCAGACGAAGAAAAAATGATAAGAATGAAGAAGAGAGAATATTTATACCATTAGTCAAAATGATCGGTCCAGCCAAATAGATCGATCCACCATGGAAGTGGAGATGTCGCGATTAAGTCCAAGTGATCAATCCTTGTGCTTGGATCGATCCGCCGAATAAGAGCCAGAAACCAAGCAACTCTATGGATCGATCCATTGGAGTGGATCGGTCCACTTATGATTGGGTCTGAATCTGGATTTGAACAAATTTACCCAGGTGATCAGTCCATTTGTTTGGATCGATCTGCCGATTGGTACGTGCGAGAAACAAAAGCCCAGAGGATTGATCCTATAGCCGGGATCGATCCGCCGAAGTTTAACTTGAAAAAGCTTCGGTTTGGGTGATCGATCCAAGTGTGGAGATCGATCCTCTATGTTCCAATTTCGAAAAAAATGCCCTGAAACCCAAAAAAACCCTGCAAAAAAGAATTATTGCGCCTTCGACGCTCAAATTAGTATCATCAATAAAAAGAGTAAATCAGTTCATAGAGATGTCCAAAATACCAAGTTTGTACCGAATGTCGAAGAATTCTCTCCCTACAAAGGGGTTTTGTGAAAACGTCCGCCAATTGATGTTTCGTTTCAACAAACTCAATTGTGACATCTCCCTTTTGGACATGATATCATATAAAGTGATGCCTAATTTCTATGTGTTTAGTCCGCGAGTGAAGAACTGGGTTCTTTGTTAGACTAATAGAACTCATATTGTCACATCTAATTGGGATGTGATCAAGTATAAGGCCGAAATCCACTAATTGTTGTTTTAGCCAAAGAATTTAGGCACAACAACTTCCTGCAGCGACATATTCCGCTTCGGTGGTGGAAAGTGCAACACTAACCTGCTTTTTACTAAACCACGAGATTAACGAATGACCGAATAAGTGGCAAGTACCGCTGGTACTTTTCCTATCGAGTTTGCATCCTACAAAATCTGAGTCGGAATAGCCAACAAGATGACATGTCGAACCTTTGGGATACCAAAGACCTACGTTCAACGTGCCCGTGAGATATCGCATTATCCTTTTGATCGCAACCAAGTGCGACTCTTTAGGACATGATTGATACCTAGCGCATATACAAACGGAGTACATGATATCCGGTCTACTCGCGGTAAGGTAAAGTAAAGAGCCGATCATAGCTCGGTAGCGTTTGATGTCTACCTCATTACCTTTTTCGTCCTTGTCGAGATAGCAAGAGCTGATCATTGGTGTGTCAATGGATTTGGATTCGGTAACATCGAATCTTCTAAGCAATTCCCTGCAATATTTTGTTTGACACACGAATGTCCTTTCTTTGCATTGTCTAATTTGCAGCCCAAGGAAGAACTTCAATTCTCCCATCATCGACATTTCAAATTCACTTTGCATCATATTGGAAAAATTCCTACACAAAACTTCGTTAGTAGCACCGAATATGATATCATCTACGTAAACTTGAACCAAAAGGATGTCTTGGTTATCTTTCTTGATGAAAAGAGTAGTGTCGACTTGAGCCTGTTTAAACTCATGGTCCAAAAGAAATTTGCTTAACCGTTCATACCAAGCACGAGGTGCTTGTTTGAGATCGTAAAGCGCCTTTTTGAGTTTGAAGACATGTTTAGGAAACTCATAGTCTTCGAAACCCGGGGGTTGTTCGACATACACTTCCTCTTGAATGATACCATTAAGGAAGGCACTTTTAACATCCATTTAATAAAGTTTAAAATCCATCATAGATGCAAATGCAATTAATAAACAAATAGCTTCTAAATGTGCAACCGGTGCATAAGTTTCTTCATAATCAATGCCTTCTTCTTGATTGTAGCCATTAGCTACAAGCCTAGCTTTGTTTCTAGTCATTACTCCATTTTCATCGAGTTTGTTACGAAACACCCATGGCATTTTGTGCCAATAATGGAATGATCATTAAGTTTAGGCACCAATTCCCAAACATCATTGTGTTTAAATTGGTTAAGCTCTTCTTGCATTGCCATAGACCAATGTTCATCATTAATAGCATCCAAAACGGTTGTTGGTTCAATTTGTGAAACAAAGGCCATGTGATTAATTTTCTTCCTAAGAGAATTACGAGTAGAAACTCCCTGCGTTATGTCACCAATGACATTGTCAATCGGGTGATTCTTCAACGTTCTCCACTCCTTAGGAAGCTCCGTTTGTTCCTGCGTTTTCTCTTCTTCCGGTTCCTTTTCCTTAACGATTTCTTCTTCATCATCATAAGAACCTGCAACAATATCAACAATACCTTTTCTCGCCAAGCGAGCATCAAATTAATCAAAGACAACATGAATAGACTCCTCTACGGTCTTAGTACGCTTGTTGAACACTCTATATGCCTTACTACGAAGAGAATAACCTAAGAGAATTCCTTCATCCGACTTAGCATCAAATTTTCCACCAAGTTATCTTTTCCATTATTATGAAAAAAAACTTTACATCCAAAGACATTAAAATAGGAAAGGTTAGGCTTTCTTCCTTTGTAAAGTTCATAAGGCGTTTACTTGAGTATCGGTCTAATGACCGCTCGGTTTAACACGTAGCACACGGTACTCACGGCATCCACCCAAAAATATTTAGGAAGGTTTGCCTCATTGAGCATAGTTCTAGCCATCTCTTCAAGAGACCTATTTTTCCATTCAACCACGCCATTTTGTTGTGGTGTACGGGGGGCTGAGAAATTATGCTCAATGCCTGATTGGTCACAAACGACATCAAAGCCGTCTTGATCAAATTCTCCCTCATGATCACTTCTAATGGATGCAATGTGAGAGTCTTTTTCATTTTGAACAAATTTAATGAATTTCTTAAAAGCATTAAGTGCATAATACTTATGAGCTAGAAAGAGTGTCCATGCAAACCATGAATAGTCATCAACGATAACAAAGCCAAAGTAGCTACCTCCTAAACTCATAGTTCTTGAAGGTCAAAAAAGGTCCATGTGCAAAAGTTGTAATGGCCTAGTCGTAGAAACAACGTTCTTTGACTTAAACGAGGCCCTTACTTGCTTCCCCTTTTGACATGCATCACAAATTAGATTTTTCTCAAACTTAAGTTTAGGAACACCAATTACTAAGTCTTTAGAAACCAACTTCTTAAGATGGTCCATGTTAACGTGAGCTATCCGACGATGCCATAGCCACGTTTCTTCCTCTTTGGTAATGAGGCACTTAGCTAAGATAAACGGGGAATTTTCAAGATCAAACATGTAAATGTTATCTACTCTACTACCACAAAGAATAGTCTTATTGTCACACAAGTGTTCTACAATGCATTTACTAGAATCAAAGATGACACGGTTACCTCTATCGCACAATTGACTAATGCTAAGAAGATTGTGCTTGAGGCCCTCAACAAGAAGAACGTTCTCAACGGTTGTAGCATTGTCTCTCCCGACGGTGCCACTTCCAATGATCCTTCCTTTGTTTTTATCCCCAAAAACGACATTGCCACCTTTGAAATAGTCTAAGCTCCTAAATTTGGATGCGTCTCCGGTCATGTGCTTGGAGCATCCGCTATCGAGATACCAAGAGGTACTCGAAGCCTTCAAGCACACCTACAAAATGATATAAGGGAGACGGTTTAGGTACCCATGTATTGTTGGGTCCTTTTTGGTTACCATATGTGTGATGTGTGTGCGTTTGTTGGAAATGCCTAATTTTGGTGAAGCACGTGGGTACAATGTGACCTATCTTATTAGAATAGTGGCAAATAACATTTGGATTATTCATCCTATAAGGTTGAGTGTAATGAGTTCTAGGTTTGCTAGGATGTGCTCTTCTAGTTTGATTATTTATCCTAGCATTTTATTCCCCCTAGCTTTAACAAAGGTTGTTTTTTTAGGTTGGTTTTTCTTATATCCAATTCCTTCACCATTACTAACTTTTTGCTTAAGTATTTTATCTAAGGTTTTTGAAGCATTATTAAACTTTCCCAATTTGCTCTCTAAACTAGCAACCTTAGCTTTTAGTGATGTACAACTAGAGCATGTAGAAGAAGTAGTTGAAGGTTCTTGTGCCCTTTTTCCAAAAGAGATAATTTCTTGTTTAAGTTTATCAATTATATTTTTGAGTTCTTTTACATCATTCTCAAAAATGAGGATTTTTTGTTTAACTTCATTATTTTCTTTGGAAACCTTTTTGAACATTCCTACAAGTTCTTCTACAATGCAAACAACATCATTAAGAGTTAAAGGATCATTGGGAGAAGGTTCTTGATCACTTACCTCTTTTGACCTTTCTCCATCTTCAATGGCCATGAGACATAGGTTGGCCACTTCCTCCGTTTCCGAGTCTTTGCTCCCGGAGCCATCATTCTCCCAAGAAATGTAGGCATGTTGCTTCTTCGGTGCCATCTTGTCCTTCTCGTTCTTGAGCTTTGGACACATTGGTTTGATGTGTCCAATTTCACCACACCCATAGCATTTGGGTGTAGTGTTCTTCTTGGTCTCTTCTTGAGCATCATCTTCTTGAATTTTCGGACAAAGAGTCTGAGGTCGGTGTCATCACTGTCATCATCTTCATCATCGACGTTGTTGTGGGTTGATGTTGTTGCGGGTTGATGTTGTTGCGGGTAGAGCAATAGACCTCTTGTTCCTCTCTTCAACCACCTTTGAGAGTTGGGTGGTTTTGTAGGTAATAAGATCACCTCGAAGAGCCTCATAGGTCGTTGTTTGGAAGTCACGACCTTCTTCGATTGCGTCCACCTTTGAACGCCATTTGGGGGATAGGCTTCCCAGCACTTTTCTCACGAGCTCTCGGTCGGTGTATGTCTTCCCGAGAAGATTGAGAGGATTGATGATGTTATTAGAGAATCTCTCAAACATTTCCTCAATCTTCTCATTTTCCTTCATTGAAAAGAGTTCATACTCGTGAGTGAGATGGTCGATTTTGGCCTCCCGAACCTGCGCGGTTCCTTCGTAGGTGACCTCCAATTTTTCCCACATATGTTTTGCGGTTTCACACCGCGAGATTTTGCGGTAGTCATCCGCGTTAACACCGCAATAAATCATGTTTATTACCTTTGCGTTGGGCTCCATCTTTTTGCAGTCTTCGTCGGTGAATTCTTCTTCAGTTTTGGGGACGTTGACTTCACCGACTTTCTTCATCGGGACTCCACACCCGGTCTTGACTATGAACTACAGTTTGTAGTCATTGGATTGGATGAAAATTCTCATCTTTCCTTCCAATAAGAGTAGTTGGTTCTGTCGAACAACGGTGGCCTTGTGGTTGATTGTCCCTCGCTAACTCCTGCGTTGAACATTCTAGATGCCTTTGATCTTTGAGTTCCTGAAAATAAAGAAGTATTCGAAGAACTTCCTGCTCTGATACCAATTGTTAGAAAAAAGTGCAACTCTGGAGGGGGTGAAGAGAGTTGTTCGCTAGAATGTGCGTAAATCGCGTGCGTGATAATTAAAAAAATCGCAGGAAAAATATAAAGAGCAAGGAAAAAGAGTACACCGTGATTTATACTGGTTCACCACCTTGTGGCAAGTCCAGTCCTCCGAGAAACTCTCTCAAAGGTTCTACTAAACTTCAAGCTTAAATGGGTGCTTGAAAAACCGATACAACTCGAGAACTTGAATCGCACAAGCCTCAACTTCTTACAACAAGACTTGAGTCACACAAGCCTTAACAACAACAAGACTTGAATCACACAAGTCTTAGCAATACTCAAAAAGATTGAGTTTACAACACAAGAATGAAAGCTCACACAATTTGAGCAAGAAGTGTTGAAATATGAAANTAACACTCAATAAAAATATTTCTAACTCTCAAAATAATATATTTGATGAGGAAGATGGAAGCAAGAATTGAATATTGATCAATGAAGATATTGGAGTGCAAGAGATGTATTTTTAATGAAGAAGGATGAGTGTGTATATAGAGGAAAAAGAAATAAATCTGTTGGAAGTAGGGAAGAGGTGATTTTGACAGATTTGAGCGTTGGAGATCGATCCAGGGCAGAAGATCGATCGTCTAGAGTAAACTACGGAAAATAAATTTGTGTCAAATGCACGGGGATCGATCCAAGGCAGGGGATCGATCCTCTGGAACCAAAATTCAGGAGATGGATTTTTGCAAGGTTACGGGGGATCGATCCACACTCAAGGATCGATCCTACGAACAATTAGGAAAAAATATATGATCGATCCATTCACTTGGATCGATCCAGGCTCGGATCACTCTGCACAGGTGATCGATCCAGGAAGGATGATCGATCTCCTAACGAACAATGGCCAAACAAGGAGGACCCAAAGCATGTGTGCGAGTGGGGAGTACAATTGGAGCTTAATGATTTGTTTTAGACAACAATTTGAACATGATAAGGCTCCCATAAACAAACAAATCAAATGAGTTGAAAAGAATTAATTCAAATTCAAAATTTGAATTAAATAATGGATTTTTGTGTAGAAATTAAGTCCCAAAAATATTTTGCGTGTCAAACGAAGTACAAGAAAAATCTTTAAAGTATATTTTTCTTACCACAAAAAGTTTGTGTATCCTTAAAAAGTAATTTAAAAATTGACACACTATTTTGAAACTGACTCAGTGAAATATTTTTAGACACAGAAAAATAATTTTTTTCAACTGACTCAGAAAATGATTTTTGATGACTCGGCTTACTCCCTGCCACCGCACATTCGAATACACTCTGCAATTTGCTTTAGTGCGTAATCTATCTCCCTTCCATTGACCTTTCTTCTTTTTGCCTTCATCATCAATTAATTTCTTAGGCTATTATTGTCGTCCACTCAATTAATTTCTTAGGTGTCGCCTCGAGCTTCTAGATGGAGAAGAACACTGTACGTGGCCCCTCCTCCCTCGCTGGTTACTTCCGTCTCAGAAATCGGTCCTGCTTCATGTCCTTCATCTCAGAATGTAACGCCACGAAATATGACCTAAAATTTATTATAAAACAAAAGTAAATTTTGTTCAATAAGAAATATTTATACGTTTGACCAAAAATAAAGGGATTTTCAAAATAATGACTTTTTGTTAAAAAGTTATTTTTATGGATATGTCTCAAAGAGACGAATCCAACGGTACATTTTATGAACCAATCTGATTTATAGATTTTAAGTTATGTCAATTTTAAATATCAAAATTTGTAACTTTGACACATAAAATAAACTCAATTCAAAAGAGATTTCATAAGATTAGAAATCTTAATTTTTGACACTTGACAACATATTTATCATTTGGACTTAATTCATATATTTCTATTTCATTCATATTATTATATTAAATTATGACTAAGACAGACCCGGATACTGAGAAAAATAAAAGTTCTCAGAAAAATATTTTGTTTACATCAAAATTCTAGTTTTGACAGTCTGATTCTAAAAATGCAATCCGTTTCCAATTCGGAACAGTTTGAGCGAAAAAGCGTGTACCGTCTTAGCCAGTTTATCAATTACGAAGTAGGAGAATATTTTAAAATCCCTACTCAATCACGTATTCAGTCCATGATCTCCACTAGCCACCTCAATCTTCACAAAGTCACCCCAAACTTCCTATCCTACACTAAAAATCAAAAGAAAAAAATATACTATATCACCATCCCCATAATCTCTTATCATCCACACACACAACACTCATCTCTCCTCCCATTCTCTCTCTGTCGGCTAAGCATCAAGAAAGGGGAAAGAAAGTTTTATCTCCATTGTTGTGCCAAGGAAGGAGAGGCAAGCAAGAAACCACCCAAAATTTCTAAATCTTGACTCCAAAAAACGCAACAGCTACTTTGAGGTAGAAACTGAAATTTTCCATCCATTATCTTGAAATACTTCTTGAACAAAAGTTGTAGCCACAAATTCAAACGGATTGCGATTTCAACATTTCGTGAAGAAACGATGGAGATATGCCCAAAATACGGCAGGCTGTCCGATTATGACAGAAATGACAAACCAAATTTCGATGATTGTTTCCACTCCCGCTCATCCGTAAGGTTTTGGCCATTTCATTCCAGGTCTGTACCTTTGCGTTAGACTTGTCGAATCATTCATCACATACGTACATGAACATATATGTTAATCCATTTGTTGAAATCATTCTAAAATATATATGTGATGCATATATAAGTCATCTATGTGTTAAGGCCAAAATACACCAAATTCATAAAGTTAATATATATATATATATATATATATATATATATTTTAAAGAACTTTATTGATAAGGAAAAGAGTTACAATCTCGAGATAAAAAATACACATTCTAAAGCTCAGAAAGAAGAAGAAGCCTTTTTTCCTTTCCTCCAAAATTTATCAATCTCCCAAGCGTCAAAGTCTTTGTCATGAATTAGCCATTTCTTTTGTCGGTGAGTCCATGCCCAAGCCTGAATAAGCTTCCCAATCTGTTGGATAACTGTACGTGAGCTCATTCTGTTTCCATCATAAATAAAGGCGTTGCGAGCTTTCCATAATTTCCATGCGATAATTCCTGGGAGTATAATCTTAAGTGCTCCTTTGAAAGTTTTCAAGTTACTTCTTACCCACCATGAGATTGCATGTTGGCGAAGTAAGAGGTTTGACGTGAGCATCGGAGCATCCACCATGCCTGCGAAATAGTTCCAAACAGTTTTGCTCTCTTTGCAGTTGAGGAGGCAGTGATCCAAGTCTTCTTCAGAGTTAAAGCAAAAACTGCAGCGACTAGGAAGTGCAAGGT